GTTTATGGTCTTTCAGCTTTTCTTTTCAGAGATTCCGCCTGTCTCTGTGTGTAGGGCTGCCTATATGTCGGTTAAGGATCCATATTTACCTGAGAGATACCGAGTGAGTAGTGACTAAGTTTACCAGTTTTGAAAGGAGGAGGTAGCCCGTCCATATCCTCATTGCCAAAAGAGGTTGCCCAGATTCCGGTCATATATGCAGTCTTCTTTCGGACAAGGTGTTCCAGTTGTCTTAGATATAAACGTATTTTTGACATCATTTGCACAATTTGATTGCTCGTAAAGTTGAACTTGCATTTTCATGCTTAAGAAGTGGAGTTTCTACCATTCTATCAATCAATTGCTCCTGAAAATGGATGTTTTCTCCAGGATTATAGTATATATGCTTGTGATCAAACTGAAATGTTGCAAGAAAGGTAGCCCATACCTCATGGTCATAGAACAATGGGTATATTTATTTGTAGCCTTGTTTAATGATGGGAAATATATTCCGATTGCTTGTCGTAGCTAAGCCAGAGGTCATTGCCTATGATGAGGACCACTAGGGGTGCCCATGGGTGCAAAATTTTTTTTGGGCTGGACCTAGGTAGTGTAGGTCCAAGCCCTTACACAAGCGAGTTATCAACTGAGCCGGGCTTCGGGTAAGGGTAGGCTACTCGCAGTCCAACCCGTGATCCTATTGAGCGGGCCTGCTCGCGGGTTTTTTTATATATAACTTCATTTAAAAATAATGAATATTTTTGTAACTTAATATTTGTGTAAATTATATTTTTGAATCAAAAATAGAGTCAAAATGGATAAAAATAAAATAATGAATAATTTTATTTTTAATTAGGGGATGAACTACATCCAATAAAATGAATACATTTCAAATAGGTTGACACCTACTCAATTATCTATCATTTGAATTACTTTACCCTTTAAAACTTGTATACTTAATACATGAAAAATAAAATAATACATTATTTATAGTATCTAAATTTTTAAAATTTTAAATTCTGACATTGAGAGACTTATTTCAAAATTTTAAATTTAATGGTGTAAAAGTATAACTTTTTTTCAAAGGAAGGGTGGGCGGGCTTGACTGGCTGGGCTTCGGGCTGGGTAATGGGTTTAGGGGCAAACTCAAGCCCTCTTTTTAAAGATATTGGGCTTGGGCGGGCCAACTATCGAGCCTATTAGGTTTCGAGCTTTTTTTTTTTGGGTTAGGTAACGGGATCCGTGGGTAACCCGACCCATAGACACCCCAAAGGACCACTTTGGAAGTTCTACCACTGCCATGGATTCTGACTTATTTGATGGTCCCATACAAGTATGCAAATTGCTATATGCCAAGCTTTTTGCTAGCCCCTACCCCACCAAAAACAAGACTAAACCTGTATATTATAATGTGGGTTTAGAAGGCTGGAAGTTTTAGTAATATGGTTAAATATCTTTTAAGGTTTTGAAAAGCTAGGTTTGGATGTGAGTAATTCTTTTGTATGGTTTTTTTTTTATAAGGAGGGGCCAATATTTTGTTTCTGTAGCTTCTAGTTTGGGAACTGTATATGAATTTGACTTTGACCTAACTGCACGATTGTGCCTATGCATGATATTTCTATTTGATAGATGCTATTTGTAAACCCCATTCCACCCCCTTTTTATTATTTGTTTTCACTTGTAGACTTTTGTATCACCACTTGGCAAAATAAGGTTCTATAAGCTTCATAATTTCTCTATTCTACAAAGCATATATTCAAGTGAAAATTTGTGAAAAGTAAAATGTTCGGATTTTTTCGTCAATATTTCTAGGCATAAGTTTTGAAGGCCTCAAGGACACTTTTTTGAAGTATTAGGTGTGTAGTTCGTAATTACTACTTTTAGTCATTTTTATGACAAAAATACCCCTTATATTCATTACTTGCACCAACTCATTTATGAGATAAGATTTTGCCTAAATTCCTCTCTCTTTTCTCCCTCTCTCCCTTCTCTCTTTGCCCTCCATCCTTTTCTTCTCTCTCTTTCGTGTAGGTGGGCAATCTCTGGCCCATCAAGTTCTTCCCTTGGCTGTGACGAGGAGAACGTGGTATGCGGTTTCTCAGACGATGTGATAGACAACCAAGAACGTTGTTAGAGAAGAAGAGTTCTAGCAAATTTATTGATTTGTTGGTGGATTTGAAAGGGGTTTAGAGCTTGTTTGTGGAAGTACAGTGGAGTAGAGAGAGAAACAAAGACTCACCTCTTCTTCTATTAGAGAGTAGCTCAAATCCGCGAACAAATTTTTCCTTGGATCCAACAAAGTCATGTAGGTTTCTCTATGTAGATCTGTTGCTGATGTAATTATACTAGGTATGGCCTAATCAAGAGCCTCCGTGAGGGAATTCTGGGCTTTGTTGTACCAATTTACCAAAAGAGAGCTCCAAAGATTATTTTAATGAATATGATTAATATGACTTTGCAAAGACTAGAATCATTTCAATAGAATAGGTGGAGCTTAAAAAAAGAAGGTTATGTTGACAGTATCACTCATTAGATGGAACCATTCTTGCGCAAGAAGGGATGCTTTTTTGGTTTGAACAAATATGTGATGGAGCTTGTTTCCGACTTTTTTGTTTGTGAAGAGGGGAAACCGTTATTGCTCGAGTCATCTCACATACAACTATTGTTGAATATCATGTATATAGATATAATGATCTTAGAGAACTTGAAGAAAGAGAGCTTGGACAATGGAATCGGCATTCTCATGGTACAAAGATTCTTTGGACAATGAAATACCAATTTCACTATCCAATTTCATTGAACTAAACAGTGAAATTAGACAATGAAATTTTATTGTTCAAAACCACCCTCTTTCTTGCCACTCTCTCTCTCTAAATATTTCACCATAATAAAATTTCACTATCATAGGCCAAAATGGCTTTTCAATTTTAGTGAACTGGATAGTGAATCTTCTATTTCACTGTATAAAATCATCCTCTTTCTTCCCACTCTTCGCCTCTCTATACAGTTTGTCACTATGGAGAAATTTCACAGTTATAGCCCAATTTCGTTGTCTTATGATTGTATTAGGGCGTACCCAATGCACGAGATTTCTATCATTGCGGAGTCTAGGGAGGGTTAGATGTATACAGTCTTACCTCTGCAAACAGAGTGGCTGTTTCTGTTGTCTTGTGATTGTGAAATTGAATATTTTTTTTCTATTTCATTGTCCAAGACACCTTTCTTTTCTCTGTCTTTTTACCATTTTTTTACTATAGTCTGATTTCATTGTTTTAGGTCAGTTTCACTCTCCAAAACCACCCTATTTCATTGTTCGAAGCCATCACTTTTTTTTCCACTCCCTATTTTTTCGCAAAAAATTCACTACAGTTAATTTTCACTATTATAGGTCTATTTCATTATCCATTTTCAGTGAATTCCAATGTACAAAACAAGTAGATTTCTTTCCACTCTATCTATGCAAAATTTTTTAGAATAGTGAAAGCTCACTATCCCAAAGATTTACTGGCAATTCTTTTTCACTATTTATTTCATTGTGGAAAATCGTGAAGATAGAAATTACTCCCTTTGTTGGCACCGATTTATTTCTTGCTCAAAAATTTCAAAGTGATTTTCTTTGGAAAAAAAAAGTGAAACTCTAGGTTTCATGATTATCTGATTTATTATTGTTTGCTAAGAACCCTAGTTTATTGCTGTAGAAATTTGCAGAACCTCGTTTTTGTCTTTTTAGACACAGACATGAATGATTCTTGTTTTTTTGTGGTTTAAATTTGAAAATTTGCTGCAAAATATTATTTTTGGCTTTTGGATCTTGATATGCTTGATTCCTAAGTTTTTGGTGATATAAGTTCGAAATTTCGCTGAATTTACGTTGATGTAGGCTACCACGCATATGTATATATGTGTGTGTGTGTGTGTTTTTTTTTTTTTTTGGGGGGGGTGGGGTGTTGTATATGAGGATTAAATATTGAATGTAACGGTGATACCATGTCACTATTGATGACATGGTATCACCGACGAATAACAAAACCCCAAGTGGGTAAGGTGAACCCCACTTGAGCTTACATGGAGGAAGAGTTGGGAGTTATTTGTTTACATGGCTTGTTGATTATTAATTTTTGTAGGGTCCATTTACTTATTTGTTTTAATATTATTGGTTGGTGATAACACATCACATTGTCATGTGGTATCACCATTGTAATGCATATTTTCTCGTATATGAGAGGGTGAGAGAAAAGAAGGTAAATCTAAAAGCCCTATAATGAAAGAGTTTTGAATGTTTTGAATTTTGAAATATTCTAATTTTTTGAACATTAAAGTGTCCTTTTAAATGAGAGCAAATGAGTCTTTTGAGAGAATGCTCTCCTTTTGGACCCAAAACTTATGCTTAGATCTGTCAACCCATAAATTTCATTCTGCGGACTTGTGGTCCCTTTTCCCTATATTCAACTGGGGTAGGAAAAAGATGGTGAAGAAGAAAACAATGAAATATAGCAAATTTGTTTCATCTACTACATTGAAACTCTGAAATTTCAGATGGTAATTGAGATGCATTTTGCAGGGAGTACCTAGAAAAATGTAATTTTAAGACAATAATTACTTGAAAGGGCTATACTGTTTCTAGTCTATACAATCTAGGTTTGAGCATGGTGCTGGTTTCCTTTTGGAAATTGTACTACCTTACTGAATTTTTATTCAGAAGGATATAGACATGTTACCACCATTTTTTTCCTATGCTGATTGTACTCAAGACTTACATCAGTGGCATCTTTTTTTCGTACTTAAATGTGTAGCACCTTAGCAACGGTGATGCGTGGCAAGAGTTTAAGTGAAGGTTTTACATATCTGGACACCCTAAAAATACGAAAACATGAGCCCTTGCACAAAACCCCTTTTTCGAGTCAAAGTTATTGAGCCTAAGGAAATTGGCACCTGCATTATATGGTATTACTTAATAGCTCTAGAGATGACCTGATCTGTCTCAGCATGACCCCAGGCTAGTATTTTCCAGTTCATAGCTCATGCTTGCCATGAGGTCAAATACCTATCAATGCAATTCAACATGGTAAGTTGTATGTCCTAGAGTCAGTACAACAAGACCATCCACTGGGTTACTGAGTACTGACTGATTGATCCCCCGAGGGGGTCTTCAGATTATTGGGTCCGTCCTTATGCTATGGCAGCTGAAGGCATAAACACGAGTTTTCACTTGACATGGTTAGATGGTGATGCATAGTAGCTCCAAGATTTAGAATTGAAACTAGGTTACAAGTTACGACATGACTTTGCTTTTACATGTCCAAATTGCCATCAATACCTTGTACCCAACATTTAAAATTCCAGGCATCTATTTGTGCCAAGTGCGTGCATGACAAAGGGTATGCATATACAATTGTCTAGTCATGCAGCAGCCAGACATATGTTATTTGAGCATCAAGATGCACCACTAGGCATAAGATTTTTTATTTTTTTTTGGTAAACATTTGTTGGCTATTGCTTACTGTACTTAATCAAGAGTGTTGGGAGACCTAACCTTCAGAATTTACTTTGATTGAGCAAATTGGCGGACTTTACGCTTGAACACATCTTCTCAAGCTTGGTAACCCACACCTTCACCTCCACCAAGCGGTCCTGCCAGTGTATGTGAGATCAAACCCCAGAATGCTTTTAATTTTTTGTCTGCTCAGACCTGCAAAAAATTGTAGGACAAACCAAGTCTTAACCCCTCTCCGTGTTTCTGTGTGTTTTTCAAAAGGGGTCTCGTTGTTAAGACTAATTGTCCATCTACAATCTTGGAGTCTATTAGTCTGTCAATCTCATGGTCTCACTTTCTTTATTTCTGTCTCTCACATAGAACTCCAACGTAGTTGCGGCAAATAATTTACTCTGATTGTGGTTGCAGGTGAAGATTTAGCTAACCACTACCAGCGGTTGGATCAATACATTCCGTGGTTACTTTATTGGAAAAGAATCAGCACTTGACTTCACCGCTCTACTCAGCATGAAGGCCCCAATTTTGAACTTAGAATCTGAAGATGAGTCTGAAGGCGGTAGCCAAGTAGTTTCCAACGTATCCATCCAAGGTCCCTTTACTCATCCATCCAAGGACAGCACCACCACTTCGTCTTGCCTCACGAATCCCATTAATCTTCAAACCAATGTGGAGCTTGAAACTCTTGATTTGACTCTCGGCTTCAACGCTAGTGATGCCGAGTTGAAGGGAATGCATGAGAACAGCAGCCAAGTGGCAGTCCATACTCCATCCGAAGCAGTGTCCAGAGTTTTTTCCTGCAATTTTTGTCGGCGCAAGTTTTACAGCTCACAGGCTCTTGGAGGGCATCAGAATGCACACAAGAGAGAGAGGACATTGGCAAAGAGGGCCATGCGAATGGGAATGATATCCGATAACTATGCCAGCTTGGCATCTCTACCCCTTCATGGGACTGCATTTCGGTCTCTAGGCATTGAAGCTCATGCCTCAGTTCACCAAGGAATCATACCACGAGAGAGGCCTTTGCATGGGATAAAAGGTGGAACAAGTTTTGAACAAGGCTATTTCAGAATGCCAATGTTTGTGGAAGAGGACGAAGCATCGCTATTTTGGCCTGGTAGTTTTCGGCAAATTGATGAGGGACTCGATAGTAATCTGGGTTCTGACTTGGGTGGAAGTTCGAACATAAATTTTGTGGCTATGGGTCCACCACCACCCAGGGCAGATTCATCTTCACCTGATCTTACTTTGAAACTTTGATCAGTCATTGAAATTTTTTTCTCTGTATTTCATATTTGAATGTTAAGAAGTTACTCAATCCGGTGTTCTCTTGTACAGCAAGATGTGTACTGATGGATGGGAGCATTTTTCTGCCTCTCCCTTTTAGTATTTTTTTTCCCGGAATTCTCCCTTTGATTTTATTTTTCCTGTTATTGCTACTTTGGCTGATGAATTATTTTTTTTCTGTTGTTGTATAAGATGACTGAGGGGATGTTTTTTGTTTGTTCTCAAAGGTTGGGATGATGTCGACATCAATGTATGTTAATGGGGTTTTTGGGTTATGCTCTTCCTCTTTAGGCCTTTCATATTTTAGCTGCAAATTTGGATGTACCAAGGGGGTATGAACCATATAGAACTACTTTACTCTTGACCTAACATGTGCCTGGCATGTGTTGGCGGAATTGCCAACCACGTCTAACTTTTGGGTCAAATAATGCTATCATTTTATGACATTGAAGGTGAAATGTAAAAGTTTCATCTTTTAGGGTATAAAGTGACGATTTTAAAAAAAAAATTAGTGTAAAGTATTATTCGCCCTTTCAAATGTTTAGGAAACTGCAAATAGTTGTCATTATGTGCAAATAATTTTGAAAGTCAGGAGTCTGGACTATATTTTTCAATTCAATGAATGACACTTTTGTCATAAAAATAGAAATTTTCTCACTTGGCTGATGTCTAAATGACCTGGGACAAAGCAAGCTAATCACACGAAAGACAACTATTTTCAAATTCAAATAGTTACAAGAGAAAATACACAAAATAGCTTCAGGAGAAGTCTCTTGGGAGAGTTTTTCAAAATCATCATATTTGTACTTTTCAGAAAGTAATTTTTAATTTTACATTGCTTTCTAAGTTAGCCTTAATTTTTGCAATTAAATATCTATTTTAACACTGTTTCATAGGTAATTTATATATTTCAGATTATCATAAAGAAAACAAAAAAAGATATATCGTACTAAAACACAAGTTGTAAATAGACATTAGTTCAAAAACACTTTTAAAACACAATTTTACCAAATAGTTAAGCATTTCAAAAAGTCTATGTTAAAAAATGCATCTTAAGAATGAACTTTTATTTTGAGAAATTACGCCAAATGCATCCAAAAAATTTAGTACTTCTTATAGTACAATTAAGTGCTTTTAAGCCAGAGTTAAGTACTTATTTAGTTCCTGAATTATGTTTTATATCAATTTAATCTATGAATTATGCAATGTAACTCTATATAGTTTTTTTCGCCAAAATTCACTCTTAATGTTGATGAAAACCCTCACGTGTACATTACGAAACTCTTAAACTATAATCTAATCTCTAACTCAAATAATATGCACGTGAGGGTTTTTATTAGGGTTAATAACAAAATTTGATGGAATGGTTAAATTAAATCAGATTGCGCAGTTCATGTGTTAAATTGACATAAAGCCTAATTTATTTTATGAGTTTGATATATACAACTAGTAATAGTATATAATTCAACTAGTTGTAATTTGTACCTAGGGTGCAATTTACGTGAGAAGCGATGGATTTTAGACAAAAAAAAAAAGTTTAATATAATTAATTTTGAAGGGATGTTAGTACTGTTAACACCCAACGTACGGCAATCATCAGGTTTGAAATAGCCGGCCTTATTTTTTCGGTTTGGTCCGGCCAGACGGTTTCGATTCCCATTTCTGTTGGTATTTGTTTTGGGCATTTCACTTTGTCAGTATCTAAATCTTTGAAGAATTTCGTCAAACGGTTGGTGCACGACTATGAAATCAAGATGGCGACCGACCGCCTCTCTATGCATTCTCAGCTTCTATATAGCGAAGATTTCAAGACCATCAACTCATAAATCTCTTATATATTCATCTCTCCCTCTTGGAAATGTATAGCTATGGCACCAAAAAGTCGTCAAAGCTTCCAACTGTCGGCGTTACCAGTAGCCATGTTTGCACATTTGGTAGCCATAGCTGTGATGGCTCTTCTTCTTGTTTGGCTCCTGCACTTCCGGGACGGTTTTGCTTTCAAATCAGACATCAAACAGAAGATTTTCAATGTGATTCCTCAATGCATAGTGAATGACTTATCTGTTCTGATTTAGGTTCTAATTGGCAATGTTTTGATTTCTTTGGCTTTGTTTTGTTGTACAGGTGCACCCATTGTTAATGGTGATTGGGTTTATCTTAATAGCAGGGGAAGGTGAGAAAGCACACCGTAGCAGAAGCCATCTAATTTTTTCCATGCTCCCCTCCTTTAAGTATGCATCCTTACGCTATGGCCCGGTCTAACTTCACTCTAAGTCTCTCACTATCATTCAGCTTCTTATATGTTAATGTTCCCCTCAACCATCATTAAATTAATGCATCTAGCTTTGGGTAGGGGAATTTTGACCTCATCTTTAATTTTACATCGGTTATTTAGATTCATTTGATAAAAAAAAAAAAAATTGGCACCATTTGGTTTGCATCTACAGTTTCTAGAGAAAGCTGTTAGGCCAGTTGTTTTTTATTTTTATTTTTTGGAAACTAAGAAAAAAAACAATGTAGATTAGAGAACAAGTTGGAGCTATTTTGTATATTTTTTGAAACAATCTTTTTAGAATTTAGAAAATACTACCACCACCACCACCACCACCACATTTCTGTTTTTATTTATTTTTTGGTATACTGTCCAAACAAGTTATGTTTTTTATCTTATTAGATAGAAATTGTCATGATAATTAAGGGCATAATATGAAAAATTGGTCATAGTTGATGGGATCAAAATATAATTTGTCTTTATTATTGATTTGGTTTTACATTGTCCCACAACAAAACATTTTCTAATAGTGCAACACCAGGACTTCACAGGGTCACTTATCCTAGTGCTACTCTTAGCCAACACTCTTAACAATAAAGTTAAGGAAATATCCACATTTCATTCATTTTCTAAGACTACTCTCATTCAAGCACTATTAACTACAGAGTTCAGAATTATAAACGTGGCATAAGTTTTAGGGGTTAAAGTGGTATATAACAGCCTTTCATCCAGTTTGTAATAGATATAATGCAATTGAAGCTACAAAAAATTAATAACCAAAAATTCAGGTATAGTGCAAAAAATGGAAAGTTGTTGGAGCAATTGAGGCATAGGCATAGTTCAAGAGGTCAAAGTGTAATTTCTCCAAGACTTAAAAATGATAATAGCTGCCTTCCTCACAAACTGTGAAATAAACATTTCACAGCAAATTGAATGACTGTAGCTTTTAGGACTAAATTGTAGAAAGGTTTTAAGACTTCAAATGCTACTTTTCTTTTTGCAAAAGAGGAAATTAAATTTTCAAGTCTATAGAGTGTGAGTATGTGTGTGAGTGTTTTTTTTTTGGTGAAGTGAGTCTATATAGTGTCCGAGTGCAGCCAATGGGACCATATACTATAAACTGACTGAATTTGCTTTTGAATCAGCTATAATGGCATACAAGACTGTACCAGCAACAAGAAAGGTGCAGAAAGGATTTCATTTCATATTGCATTTAATTGCTCTACTCGCTGGAATTGTGGGGATTTATGCAGTTTTCAAGTTTCACAATGAGCTGGGAATTCCAGATATGTACACCTTGCATTCCTGGCTGGGATTGTCCACCATCTGCCTATTTGGTTTGCAGGTACCATGATCTCCTGTTAATTAGTTTGCATACATGATTAAAATAATACTACTTCAATCTGATCATCTAAACTAATTTGTCGACTTAAACTAATGTGATTCATCCATTCGCAATACACTTCATCTAATATTGTGATCTAACTGTAACAGTGAATAATTAGGTCAACGAATTAAGTCATACAATTATGTTGTTGAAGCGGTGTTCGTGTTATTTTTACTTTGTTCACTCGGTCCACTCAGCTGACCACTCCAAGACATATATGGGTTGACACTAGTTACTAAATGCTATTGAATAATATTTATGTTACACTCTTTTGAATAGTTTAAGCATTTGGAGTAATCACTAATTAAACATTTTTTTTTTTAGGAGGGGGGTAGAAGAGGGTAGGGGAGGGGAGGGGGGATTTGAGCGGTTGACTTCATAAAGGCAAAAACCTTCACAAGGTAAGGAATATTAGTGGACCCAAAGTCCATTTGGTAATTAAACATAGATATGATTTTAAAGCCAAAAAGTGCCAACTTTGAATCACATCAGTGTCTCCTGTTTTACTAGCAAGAACAAAAACAATCACGTGGACAGACTACTAAGAGGAGGCATACGTGAGATGGAGTATTACATAACTACTTTTGTTACACTTCTTTCTACAACCTTAATGTTTTATATGAGATGGTGGTTTAATAGTTACATAAGTGATTTTTCTTTTTATTTGAGAATTAATTGTATCAAAACTTGCTTTAGTGGGTTTTTCAATTGCTGTGACAAAGCCCAAGAATTATATATCTTTTAAAATGTGGTCGTCGGTTTCACTATGGAAAGGAGTAATTTTATTTAGACCCGAAATCTATGGAGGCACTCATGTTATTTCGTCCACAACATTTAGAAGTCACAATCTTTTATCATGGTCTATTGGTAGTTTGTGTTTCACTGATTGAAAATTCAGTATTAACCCTAAATTTTAATTGTTTGTTAGTTGCTCTTCGCATTCTTCGCTTTCTTGTTCCCGGGTGCAGAATGGTCGACAAGAGCTCGGCTCGCTCCGTGGCATGTGTTTTTCGGCATTGTCATCTTCTTCATGGCAATTTTGTCTGCCGAGACCGGCTTGGTGGAGAAATTTATTTTCTTAAAGCTACAACGTGGTCAAGAAGCCCTAATTGTGAACTTCACCGGACTGTTAATACTTCTGTTTGGAATATCCGTTGGCCTTACTGTTCTCCTTCCACAACGTTATTAAGAAAGATTGAGAGGCCTTGTTTATTTTTGTTCATGGTGTGTAGCTTGACATAGTTTAAGGTTGTTGTTGATTTTCTAGACTTAAGAGCTTGATATTCTATTTTAGTTTGTACGAGAATAATTGAATCTCTGTATTTTGTTGTAAGATTTTATGTTCTTGGAACACTTTAGGAAGATAATAAGAAATTGGTATCATTTTGGATTGTGGAAGAAAAGAATGGATACCTTTGCCATGATACCACTCAACCCAGTTGCTTCAATCGAGAAATAACCACTTGCTATGTCCTGCAATAGGTACGGTGCCATGTCAGTCATCCATGTCTCAATTGTTTCAATGGAATGGAAGAAGAGCAAGTTG